GTAGACCCCAGATTGATAAACCCCCTCCCCTTTATAGGGATTATAATGGGGATCCTTATGTCGAAGGCCCTGAAAAGGAGGGGGTTTATTAAGCATGGGTCCCTAACCATAAACCTTAACCCCTGAATCGTAGTTTCCATTTTCTCTTCCATTATCCCTATATAGCCCCAATGCTGCCTTGACCATTCGGGCGCCGGCGCGGATCTGCTGATATTACCCCGAGATTAGCCTTAGTTCTCAGGGGTCTACAGTCTACAGTACTATAAACTGGAAATGGGGTAGCGGGGAATCTGCTAGTAGGGCCAAGGAGAATGAGACTTCAGGGGCTTAGGGTTTAGGGCTTAGGGTTTAGGGCTTAGGGTGAAGGGTTTAGGGTTTAGGGCTTTAGGGATTTGGGTTTATGGTTTGACTTCAGGGGTTCGCGGACTTCACGATCGAGGAGGGGGACAACCAGCAGGACACTGAGGTGGACGACTTGTTGGAGGGGGAGGACTTGGCGGAGGACGGGACGTACATGGTGACGGTCAACAACCTGGTCTTCCAGAAGATCGTCACCACTGCGACCAGAGAGTTCAATTTGTCTACGGCCGTACTGGAGCAGACGATGGACTTGCTGAAGGTGGAGAAGAGGTCAGCCGTCTTCCCCTTCAGACGCTGGGGCTGCCTGGATGCCCCTGCCAAAGCTTCAGACCCTGGCAGAAGCCCAGGCTTTCAGAGTTACGCTGTTGTTTCGCACTTACCCCTTTGAGTTTTCAGGGTTCGGAGCCCGTCAGGGGCGACTGCGCTAGAGGCGTATTCGGCCAGTACTTCAGGAAAGGCCGAGCAGATCAAACTTTTTGGGGTGGCGCGGTTTAGGGTTCAGGCTTAGGTTGTTAATCCTTTTCTCCTAATATTAAAAGACGTCCTTCCCGCTCACTCGTAACATTAAGTCATCCAGTGAACGACAAATCATTGCATGTTGGGGGCGGATTTTTTGAAAGAGTTAGATACAGCTGCTTTTAAAGACAATCCATGGAAAATCAACAGTTCACGCATTAGGTCAAGTCGTTAATTACATGAATTAATCTTTGAATATCACGTCAATCGAGATCATTTAGTTAATCAAGTGCTTACTTGACATTATCAGGCGGCTCCTTTTAAAGTAGTCTTTCACTTTTATCAGTGCTGTTCCGGATTTTAGGCCCCTGAATTAAAGATTTGATATCAGAGGGATTTAATATTAAGAGGAACGGATTACGAAAACTTGTGTCATGTACAACAGAAACTCGAAGAGGCTATAGGATGTTACCTGTTCATAGCTGGGGGCTTTCCCTACCTCAGTGCAACCATCCAGGAACGTTTTGGGGCCCAGGGCATATGGTATTTTGGCACCGTAATGTGGTTCGGTTGTACGGACAGCGCCCATAGGCATTAAATCAGCTATGGTAATGCGTAATCATCTTGTTGTCGTGCCTTAAACAGGAAGGGGTGGCAACTTGAGCCGGGGGCAGCAGAAATACCCCTTAGGGTCCAAGCACTTAAGCAACCAAATACTCCTCCAAAGCCAGCAACGCAAAGCCTCCTCTTCCGCCTCCTGGACAACATCTTTCTGAGGCAGGGTTCCCTACATCTATCTGGGTGATTGTCAAAATTATGGTCGTTCTTTGGATGCCTATTATAATACGGCACCCAATATTAAGGATACCCAAAAAGGGACCATAATATTGACATCCACCCATCTCTTTACTTTTAATGGTTTCAAAACTCATCTTTCTTCTGCGAAGACGGGTTCGCTCTACTACCCCCAACTATTGGGGTGGTACATGGAACCCTGTGAGTCCTTACCTACCTACGTCTCTTGAGCTCCACGTCCAGTGTTAAGCGTCTCGTCCCCTTAAGCAGATAGAATATGGCCTTTGGTATATTATAATAAGATCCCCATATAGCCCATATTCTATCTACTCAAGAGAGACTATACTCCCTAAACCCTTCAATAGTAGTTTCCATTTTCTTTTCAATTATCCAAATATAACCCCATCATTCCATCTACTTAACGGGTACTATAATTCTAGGCCCGGACCTTGCAAACTCTCACCCAGCAAAACGCACGTCGTCCTAGGTTGCTGGACAAAACCGACGACGGGGAGATCTCTGAACATGAGTTCCTGGGCAAGATTTGCGCAGGGCAGCATGTGTGAAGACTTTACAAAAAATGACCCTGATTTCGCCCCACTCAGATGTTGACGGTCTTTCTGAAACTCAACCTCTTCCAGACAAATTTATAATGCACGCCATGACATCAAACATAGCTCATAGGGGCCATATTCCAGGCTTCTAAAAAAGGGTCCGCACAAAAAAAGCGGTCGCCAGGTTCCTTGGTTTGGCCTTGCTAGGACCCCAACCCCTCAACCTTCAACCCTTGAACAACCCCGTCAAGACATGTTTTTAAAGTTCATGTTTCTGTCAAGGTTACTGTCATTAGTATCAATATCCATATGAGCTCTTCATACTTTATCCCCTACTACATAGACTCTTCATATGCGGCCTAAGGTCTTTTCAGCCATTTAGCTGCGACATTCATTGCAATGCAGTATACATGTTTTAGGAAATCCAGCGTACGAGCCTGAATTTTAAAGATCGTTTTCCCAAAGCATTCAGCGCAACCCCTTCGCATCAAATCTTTCCCACACTACATGAGGGCCCTTTTAAATTTGTGAGGGTTCTTTGGGGCGTGCAATATATTGGGTTCTGTATTTGGTCATGGAAAGTGTGCCATGTGCGTTCGTCAATCAAAATGATGGGCTCGGGTGTTTGACCTGGAACGAATGGATACTTCATGGTCTGGTCTTCTAACTTACCCACAACAACTGGGCAGTTTCTCAACAAAAAAACCTTTAGGGAGTTCAGGTTCGCATGGGTAAAGTGTATCATAGGGATCCTGAGCACGCTTGGAAGGTTTGGTGTTTTATCGGGATTTAGGGTCTGCGGTTTCAGGGTTAGGGTTTAGGGTTTGGATCTTCAGGGTGGTTGCCACACAAAAGGAGGCCCATTTGCTTGCTGGTCCTAGTGTAGTTTATATGCCACATGTTAGAACACAAACGTAGGTCCCTCAAGTCCCTTAAGTATAGGTTCTGACTACAGTCATGATCCGCTTATAACGATTCTCCTGGACCTGCAAGTTCTCTTTGCCAGACCTTCTCAGCCTGCTGCTGCTCAGCCTTCTGCAGCTTGCGTGTCCCCATCCCTTTAATCCAGAACCTTGAATCCAAAAAACCAAGCTTTGAATCGTAAAGGAGGGCTTCCAGAAGCAGGGAGCCGGAATGTAGATGCCAAGATGTTACAATCATTCTCAGCGGGATTCCCCGAAAGGGTCCCTAGCTTGGAAAAAAATCTCATAAAATCCTCCAGGCTTCATTTAAGCTTTCACCCAGAAACGGGAAACCCTAAACTGTACATTATACAACTCCCAACCAGTCATGGTGACGGGATCATTTCCGGGATCTTACACAGCAGATAAACGGGTATGAAATGGGTACCGTCCCCACCAAGCACCGGCCCGTAATAGTGGTAATATTAATATATGAGTATAATCCCCTTCCCTTGATATTAGATATGCTCAATACAACATATTCTATAGTATATTACACGGGGGAGTATTCAAAATTTGTTAGCGTGTTTAATGTTAGGGGAGGGGAGTAATATACAACTAGACGGGATGTACCATCTAAGTGTTACTGGGTGGGGACGGTAACCCAATGTATCATGGGTGGGTCCTTGTTACAAAAATTCTTGTGGTCGTCATAAGAAATTTGAACGCACATCGGAACGCCATGAAGAATAATTAAGGGGTTGTATTGATGTAAACTGGGAGGCCTCCTCGCCACTTGCAGCAAAATTCATGCGACAGTTTCTTGAAGGCAGTCTGTAGCGTGTTCGGCCCCGTCGAGTTTCAAGAAGGGCGGTGTTGTGATAGACAGACATCTAAATCCGCGAATCTTCACTTTGTATTTGGGGCGTGCGCCTATTTGCAGATCCCTGCCAAACATGAATCTTCGAAAGAGGGGTCGTCGAAAGCATATGCCAGTATCAGCGTGCGTACCAAAAATCCGAGTGCTTTGAACGACCACCTAAGCGCACAAAAGACACGCAAAATCCCACACCCTAGCCCCTTCACCCTAAACCCTGAACCCCTTCACCCCTTCACCCCTTCACCCCTAAACCCTAAGTCCTAAAACCCGGAAAAGGGTCCGCCAAAAGCAACATCCCCTCTCCTCTTCTCTGTCCTCTTTCTGAGAGGACAGAGACAGAGGGAAGAGAAGAGGGGACGGGGCCCGCATGCTAATCCTCCGCTTTTCCTGCGTCGGGTGGCCCGTGGGCCCAGGAAAAGCGGAGGATTAATGGCCTTTATGGCTCTTACTATGGGTTTAGGGTTAGTATTTGACATATTTTTTGGGTTCAGG